CAGTGGCCCTGAAGGACGGAACAGCGCCAAAATCGAGCCCAAAAAGTCCCTAACGTCCCTTCTGAAACCCTAGAAAAACAATAGTTTTGGACAAGGTTGTATGGTTTTCGACAATTTTTATACCACTGTTATTTTGTCCTTTTTTTTTGTACAATGAGACATACAAACGTCCCGTTGCTCCTGTTGCTGCTGCTGCTCTTCCTCCCGAGGCTGAAAACGCACCCTCCCGGACAGGGAAACACAGTGGCCCCGAAGGACGGAACAGCGCCAAAATCGAGCCCAAAAAGTGCCTAATGTCCTTTCTGAAACCCTAGAAAAACAATAGTTTTGGACAAGGTTGTATGGTTTTCGACAAATTTTTATTTTTATACCACTGTTTGTACAATGAAACATACAACCCTCCTGTTGCTCCTGTTGCTGCTGCTGCTCTTCCTCCCGAAGCTGAAAACGCACCCTCCCGGACAGGGAAACACAGTGGCCCTGAAGGACGGAACAGCGCCAAAATCGAGCCCAAAAAGTCCCTAACGTCCCTTCTGAAACCCTAGAAAAACAATAGTTTAGTTTTGAACAAGGTTTTATGGTTTTCGACCAATTTTTATACCACTGTTTGTACAATGAGACATACAACCCTCCTGTTGCAACTGTTGCTGCTGTGTGCTGCTTGCTCTTCCTCCCGAGGCTGAAAACGCACCCTCCCGGACAGGGAAAGAGGCTGAAAACGCACCCTCCCGACAGGGAAACACAGTGGCCCGAAGGACGGAACAGCGCAAAATCGAGCACAAAAAGTCCCCTAACGTCCTATGAAAACCCTAGAAAAAACAATAGTTTGGAACAAGGTTTTCATGGGGGTTTTCGACAATTTTATTACCACTGTTGTTACAATGAGAAAATACAAACCTTCCTGTTGCTCGGTTCTGCGTGCGTCTTCCTCCGAGGATGTGAAATTGAAAACGCATCCTCCCGACAGGGAAACACAGTGGCCCGGAAGGACCGAAACAGCGCCAAACTCGAGCCCAAAAAGTCACTAAACGTCCCTTTGAAACTAGAAAAAAACAATAGTTTTGGACCAGGTTTCATGGTTTTCGACCAATTTTTATACCACTGTTTGTACAATGAGACATACAAAAACCTCCTGTTGCTGCTGTGATGCTGCTTTCCATCCCGAGGATGAAAAATGCAAACCTCCCGACAGGGAAAAACAGTGGCCCTGAAGGACGGAACAGCGCCAAAAATCGAGCCCAAAAAGTCCCCTAACGTCCCCTTCTGAAAACCTAGTAGAAAAACATAGTAGTTTTGGAACAAGGTTTTATGGTTTCGACAAATTTATTATTTACCACTCTTGTACAATGAAGAATACAAAAACCCTCCTGTTTTGGACAAGGTTGTATGGTTTTCGACCAATTTTTTTTAATTTTTTTTAAATACCACTGTTTGTACAATGAGACATACAACCCTCCTGTTGCTCCTGTTGCTGCTGCTGCTCTTCCTCCCGAGGCTGAAAACGCATCCTCCCGGACAGGGAAACACAGTGGCCCTGAAGGACGGAACAGCGCCAAAATCGAGCCCAAAAAGTCCTTAACGTCCCTTCTGAAACCCTAGAAAAACAATAGTTTTGAAAGGTGCGTGGTTAGGGGGCGGGGGGGAGGGGGAGGGGGGGAGGGGGGGGGTGGGAGGGGGGGGGTGCCCCCTTTCGCCTGGATTTGTTTTACCCGTGTTTTTTCTTTTGTTATGCGTTTTCGACCAAATTTTATACCACTGTTTGTACAATGAAACATACAACCCTCCTGTTGCTCCTGTTGCTGCTGCTGCTCTTCCTCCCGAAGCTGAAAACGCACCCTCCCGGACAGGGAAACACAGTGGCCCTGAAGGACGGAACAGCGCCAAAATCGAGCCCAAAAAGTCCCTAACGTCCCTTCTGAAACCCTAGAAAAACAATAGTTTAGTTTTGAACAAGGTTTTATGGTTTTCGACCAATTTTTATACCACTGTTTGTACAATGAGACATACAACCCTCCTGTTGCTGCTCCTGCTCCTGTGACTCCTTCTGTTCAAAAGGCACCTGCCGGATGGGAAAACACCATGGCAGTAGTAGTAGTAGTAGTAGTAGTAGTCCGAAACAAGAGTCAAAAGTATTATTCCCTGGCACGCTCCCCCTTGCGTCTGCCGGGGTCGGCGGATATTGACTGCTGGCTACTGGCTGGGTGCTGCTGTCTTATTCCCTAACGCGCTCCCCCTTGCGCAGCCGGGGTCGGCGGATATATATATATATATATATATATTAGATTATAAAAATTAATTGGTAGTTCGAATTCGTGTAGATCTGCTAGGACTACCAGGGCACCGAGCCACAGGTTCGAGACGGGCCTCTTGGCGGCACGGCCATATTCCGATTGAACGAGAGGTTCTTGAACAGAATTCAGGACAAAAAGCGTTGTTTCATTGGGACATATAACCCGAATAATCATGAATAATTGGATGATCAGAGATGATAGAAGATCCAGAAGCGGGCAACAGCAATTCAGCAATTCCAAATGGTGTCTAAGCGGCTGAACATGCAATCACCTCACCAAGCACTGACCCCTGTGTAAAGTCAGGATGGAGTCCGGTATGCGGCGGTTGTTTGAGAAACCCTACGAGGGGGAAATCGCTGCAATGATGGGATACTTGGATAGAAGAAAGTTGTCATTTCCCCATCAGATCTCACACACCGACAATTTCTATAATATATGTATGCAAATTTTTGGTGGTATATTAGACACACACACATTAAATAAATAGATAAACACAAATAGATACATAAACAATAAACAAGCAAGTAAACAAATAGATAAACATAATAAACAAACAAATAGATAAATAAATCTTTATATAAATAAAACAATAGTAAAATCATATATATATATATAAATATGAATAACATACATATAAATATCAATATAAACACATAAACAAAAATAAATACACGCATATATATATACAGTATATATGTATAATATACACACGCACCGTCTATATGTGTAATACAGAAATTGTAATATGCAGAGGGAAAGACATGGCCAGTAAGGATGCTGGTAGGTACGTTGTGCACACACCTTTCTTGGGGTAAACTTCAGGATGGAAGGCTCTGGCTGTGGAAGATGCCCAGCGCATTGTCTTCTTTCCTCGGATGACGCTTGTCGGGGAGGGATGAAATCCTGCTTGCAGCATGAGGAGACTTCACCAATTGGTTTGAAGTATGACGTGCCGTGAGGGTCAGGGTTTCTTCAACCCAAGCAGGAAGCATCCATTCCTCATAGCTATAGATTTCATAATTACCTCGGGGGAACGCAAAACCCCTGAGATCACGCCAGCTCCGACCCCTGAGATCACTGCCAGCTCCCTGCCGAGGTCAGACATGGAGGTGCAATCTGTGATGGGGATGATGCGGCCCCCCTGCCATCCAATGCTGTAGACCAACTGGGGCTGGGTCAAGTTGCCAGTATTCGACTTGGAGTGCATGTAATGTGAGCATTAATTATGAGCTGGACCATTCTTGGCTCACAAATGGTAAGGAAAAAGCGAAAGGATGTTGACTGAGCGGCACATCATAGCCCATGCCATGCAGCGCCAAACTATGCGCGCCAGGTGTATGTGAAGGCTTTCCAATTGGACACGCCGGAAGCGACCAAGCGGAAGGAGAGCATGGGGGAGAGAGCAGAAAGCTGACATGCCAACCTTAAGACTGTCAGATATTTGTTTTTGTTCCTCTTTGGGTGTTGGTTAGCAACCCCTGACATCTTAGGACCAAGGGCGGGTTTGCTTGATCTTTGGAACATGACACTACTGGTAGCTGACGGAAGCTTACACTGCCTAGCCTCTTGCGCAGCGCTGGCTGCAGCGGGAGGAACAACTCATGAAGTTCAAGCTGCTGTCAGTGTTTTACACCTTGCATCGGCATGACGGTACCACAGCTGCCCTGGTTGGCAATGTGTTGATCCGTTCCAATGCTTAGTGTGCAAAAAGGAGGTCAACATTATCACATTTTAACATCCTTAACGCAACATCTTCTTTAATAATGAGGGGTATCGCATCACATTTTTGCTGATTTCTGCACGGACACAGCTCGCCACTCAAGGCATTCCAAACACAGAGTTATTGGTTTAACATCGCTGAGCTTGGGGTCCTGGGGTCAAGTCATGCGGACCTACCGTCTCAACCACATGTTAGCAGATGCTAGATAGTTCTGAAGCAAACCGCGCGATCTTCAAATTCTGGCAATTTCAATTTGGTTGCCCTGTTGCTGCCTCATTGTCCTTCTCTTCTCGTATTTTTAATGATTTTTAACATTTTTTAACACATTTTCCAGCTCCTTGCTGTCAGGTGGCTTGGCTGAGAGGTTCATGCACTTTGGAGGGTTGCTTTCCTTGGTGAGCCTCTTGGGGGAGGAGCCTTGGGGCTGATATGGCACCCATATCAGCGCGGAAGCACGCAGTGCACATGGTTTCTACAGTCGAAGTTGAGCTCTGAATTTGTAGGAGAATCGGGTGATCCAGTCCCAAGCCATCGAGCTCCTGCATGATTTTCTGGCACCACACATGGCCATGCAGCCAGCCAGCTCGGGTCGACAGGCCCAGCAATGCCGGTTACTCCTTCCTAAGGATGCCTTCTTGTTGGGGGGTTGCCCTTTGCGCCATTCAGCATCAGGGTTTTGAAGCGTTTCCTTTCTTGCCAAGCCACACAGATAGATGGATGGATGGATGGATGGATGGATGGATGGATGGATGGATGGAATTCAACGACATTTAGATACATGACCATATGTGCTGTCACGCTTGTTGCGCACATCCCAGGGATAGGCCTTGGGAAAGCCAAACAAGGATTGAAAGGATGCAGTTGGCACACGATCCTAAGGTGACCCAGTATTTCTTTGATTCTCCAAAAAACATGTATTTTCTGTGCGAGGCGCACCTGCAACACCACGTTTTTCTCTGCATCTTGCTGGCAGAATCTAGCAGATGAAGATGGGCTGGGTCGGCTGGGTGTTGAAGAGGACGACGATTCAAGGGGGCAGTGTCACGGGCTGCTTCTTGCTGATGTGTTTGAGGTGACATTTTTGTCGCAGCGGCAAGGCGTTTTAGAGTTTGGTTTGGGCGCTGATGCAAACAAAATTATTGAACATCTAAGCCTCCGAGTGTCCACGGAGGTAGAGGGGTGACACCTATGAGCAGGTCCGAGTCACTTAGGCCTCAGCTCTGGAAAGCTTTGGCAGTACTGTGGGCTGATCCTCTCAGAGCCTGGGGAGGCGCTCACATTTCTGGGTGTCATAACATGTCGTCCCATGAGAGGGCCCCAACACAAGACGAAGCATGTATACAGTTGACATGATCCATGGTGGATACCCCGCCCAGCAAAACTTTGTGACCACTGAACTGTTCCAAGCAGAGGTCTTTCCAAAAAGCTATTCGAGTAGCATCCAGCTGCTGGCTGCGGCCATTGGATGGCTGCGACCACAAACTGGCCACGAAGTTGCAGAGGCTGGGACCTCAGATTATCCCAAGATTCCGCAAGTTCTAGAGAAGCTTCCAACCTTCGAGCCTTGTTGGCACATGTTGGCACTACATCACCAAATGTTTGTGCCATTCTCTCACCAGGCTACGGTGCCTCCAGAAGTAAAGGGTGCCATGACAGCCCTGCAACGCTGCGCCAAAGGTTCCACACCATTGGCCACCTGGAAGAAATGCCCAAGGGGTCCAAGGGGTGCCTTTTGTTGCACTGTTTCTGCAAGTGTCCTCGGAAGCTGATAATACTGCTAACGAGACCTCCAGCACCAGTGCTGATACCGCAGATATTCACGGATATTCATAAATCCTTCGAATTCCACAAGCCACTCAACCATACGCCATTAGTTCTCGCACAAATTCGAGGTGAAGAGGGTATGCCAATTTCGGTCCAGAGCCGCCAAGTCATTCCCCAGCTAAGGCACCTGAAATGCGACAAGTGGCAGAGGAATTGCTGGAGGAAACTTCAGGGAAGGGATGCCCAGGGCATTTCCAGTGGTAAATGGAGGGAACGGTCTTGAGCTATAGGTATCCAATAGCATCCATATTCATCCATACTCATTCATATTACTCGCACCTACAGAATGGTGAGCCAAGGAGCTACAAAGTAGAGTTTCCCAAAGAGAGGGAGAGGTCATCATTTGGGCTTTAATGTGGCTTGTGGCATGTGGTAAAACCCCCTTTCTCACCTGAGAAAGTGGGTCACGCGATGCCCAACCATGCCCAAGCAGCAGGAGCTGGCAGATCTTCCAACCATTCGCAATGGCCTCAGAAAGACTATGATGATGGGATCGATTTTGAGCATTAGTGGAGACCACAGGTATGAGTCACATTGAGCCACCATCAAGTTGAAGTCGTTTGACTATTTTGACTCGTGCTTAGTCCTGGAATGCGTGTGTTTTGTATCCCGGATATAGGAAACATATCCTTAAAGTATGAGTGACCAAGGTGTGAAGTGTAGATGTTTTTTTACTTCTCCAATGATCACCATACTTTTTCCAGTGACTGTATGCTCCAATGAGCTCCAATGTCGCCAAGCACAATATGCGACATGCTCCTGTCCTTACCCCTTGCCTGCGCGTCATGACATTGCAGAGGTTGTCCAACTCTTGACCACTGCAGGTTCTGATCCCATGTCAGGTGAGGCCCTGAAGAAGTGTCAAAGTTGCTTGGTTATCTTGGTTGATTATGTCGGGTGAGGCCCTGATTATAATGGAACTGATAAAGATAGACGCATATAGACGCAGCTGAGCCCTCAGGTAACCTTTTTGATCCTGCCATGCAGAAGCGGGAGGTGGAACTGGGGAACGGAGAGAGCGGTGCATTTCGGTATGGAAAAAGGAGCCCTGAAAGCATAGTTTGAGAGCTAACTATGAGGGAAGTTATATTAATCCAAGAGGGAAGTTCTGATTTGTCAAAACCATAGCATCCCATGCCTGTGACGTGCCAGCTGATGAAGACATCGATCCTATGTCCCCATCCAGCCCCCAGCGGTGTTTGGGAAGGATGCAGCACATGCCTGGCAAACATTGAAGCTGCTGGGCAACGAAGCAGTGTCCGCAAAATTGTTGTGCCTTGGCAGCCGTAGCAGTTGGGAAGTTGGCGGGTCCGGAAAGGCATGAAAGGATGCTGTATATCATGATGGACTAGCTAATGAAGGCACCGGTGGAGGGTATCTTGTTTGGAGTGTCAGTCAGTGCTTAAGTACTGACATGTACTGACTGACATGAAACAAATCAACTGTTCAGAGGGCAAAGAAGGGGAGGAGGATTAAGTGACGCGCATGCTAAATGCAGCAATGCAGTGCATCTAAATGCTGATAATTACTGATAATACAAATAATTGATAATACTTTAATTCGTCTAATTGTGCATGTTCCTCCTCTTCCCCGGCGTTCAACTGAAGCCAAATTGGCCACGTTTTTTGGCTCACTTGATAGGATTTGATAGGACTGCGGTCAAAACCATCATGCAGCAGCTACATTCGTGTACAGTAAGTATAATAACCAACCATGGGCACGCGTTCGCACCTTACCAAACCATCAGGTCAGATCAGGTCCATCTACACAATGTCACTTCGCCTTCCCCAAGGTGGCCAGCAGAAACAATTTACAGAATGGCGCTCGAGGTCCGCTGCATTTGCCGCAGCCAGTTAGCTGTGTAGTGCGTGGAACGGGACTTCATGGGTGACTAAATGCTCCTGCGCAAATATGGTGCCAAGGAGCAGGAAGTCAAATGAGCAGCGTTGAAAACCTCCAAGTAAGCATTTTATATATTAAACGTTAAACTAGCTTACTTCCGCGAAAGTAAAAACCTCACGCGCGAAAGCCGCGCGAAAGCACCCGTGAAAGAGGCGTTAAATGTTCTAACCGCGAAAACTCCGCGAAAGCTTGAAATTATTGCCTATCACTATAGTACTAGTTTTAACTTATCTGCGACAGCTGCGCGAAAGCAAACATGATGGACTCAGCGTCCGCGAAAGCTAAACGTGTGGTCGCGTAAGTACCGCTAAAGCTCCGCGAAAGCCACGTGGGATTATAACAAATTTGCAAAAGGGTTCTCAACACTGCTCAAATGTTGACCAATGTCCTGTAGCTTCATGTTTGCAATAGGTTATCATCGCTTATCCCAGTTTGATGTTGCCCTAGCATTGGATTGTGACAGTGACCCCTTCTCTCCCATGAATGAAGCCCAGAGAGCCGGAAAGGAGCTCTTTGCTATTTGTACCTTTCCACACCGAAAACACAGAATGTCCTGTCTTCATCCAGCATCCGTTGCTTTGAAGGAGGGAGGTGATGTTCTGCCCGAAGCTGAAGCTTCAATCCTGCACTCCAACCGAGCCGCTTGGTGCACGTGCGGAGGAGGGGTGAGTGATCCGGGGATTCCTCATGATTCCTCCAAAAGCTCTTCATTGATGTTCATCGAAGCTTGCTGAAGACCTGTTGACACCTATCAGATATCAGCCA